GAAAGAGAGGTCCTGACACATTTGAACAGACCAGGGCAGAAAAAGGTTCAAGGTTCAAAGATTTTTATTGTTAGGACATACAGAAATACCGTTCTCTCTCACTTAATGTTGAAAGCCATACCATTTAAGAAACTAAAATAGAATAAAAGCAGAATAAAAACTGAATAAAATAGAATAAGAAAACTAAATTAAAGTGATTAGGATAAAACTAAACGGTACATCCCAACAGACTGACTCAAAAAATGCGCTCTTCTATTTCGGTTAGTAAAATTAATTCACATAGGCCTATCATAGCATTGTAACATTTTACAATGCCAACAGAAACAGGTTGCGACCCACTTGGTAAAGGCAGATGCAGTAAAGGATACAGGCAGGTGATAACTTCATAACTGATCGGCACAGAAACAACAACAAAATTAGGTCATTTGGAGGAAACTGCATTCAGAACTGTACAAAATATCTATAGTATTTTGACTCTTAGGTACAATATGATTAGTACTTTTATAGGTGTTATGAATCAAGGCCACCTTTTAAAAGGTCAACGAGCAGCAGGCTACATAGTTTCATGAGCCAAAGGAAATTTAGAATTATCTCCTACATACTGTATATCCATGTCTATGTACACAAGGATTAGGCATCTGCTCAAGTGCTGAGTGCAGGAAGGCAGCCTGGATAACTGGAAAATGTACATCTACAATGTAGTGTCAACCTTCTTTTAACTGTTCATCTGTGGTGAGTCACTTTTGGCTGGGTAACACACACCAGGGAGGCACACAGCCATAGCTCCATGCTGCCTGATACCAGATGAACCATAGACACCGAGGCCCTAGTGGTGCTCTAAAAATAAATAGTGCCAGCAGCGCCATGTGTCCGCAGTAGTGGACAGATTGCTTTCAAAACGTCCAACACGTGACTGTGTTGTCAGAGAAAAGGAAATACGATTCTCAAATTCAACATATTCATACAGCATTTTAGGGAAACAATTTAATTATACATCCAGAATAATGCAGAGCGAGCACAGTAGCCATTAAATATCGAGTCAGACTGCAGATGTTTCTCACCACTCCACTGTGTGGCCATGTGTTACATCCAAACAAGGGGTAGTTCACACTGGATTGTGCTGCAGTCGTTTTTTAATCCATCTGTTGAAAAATGGGAAGTGCATCTATGGTAAGAACAAGTAACCATATTCACACACAGGGCCTTCAGCTATATCTCTGACTTACAGTATGTCACAAATGCTTTGTCCAAACCTCACTTAACAGTTATTAAAGAGGTTTCCTGATACAGTGTCACTTTGAGGGCCTTAAAATGAATAATAAACGTTTTATTTCTATCATGTCAGACAAAGTTTGAAAAGAATTGGGTCTCCTTAAGAGTGTGACTTAGCCATACATGGCACCAAAAGATTTCACGTGAACTTGTGGAACTCACAAACCAGGGTCATTTATCATAATGTATCTCTAGTAATCCAGACCTCTCATTACATTTCCATCATAAAGCCAACTTGACTGAATGTGTAACTCTCTTTCAACTTCTCTTAACCAACAGAAACTGCTCTCTAGCTTCAAAACAAGGAGACAAATATTTATTGCAATGTATTTATTTATTTCACTCCACTACAAAATTATATAATTTGAACTATGATACAGTCTTCACATATACATAATGATACAAATAGTGTACAGTGTAAACAGTCTTTTCATAAAACATACTTTTTTCCCCCAATCATTCACTGTTCCCATTTATCTTTAATGGACTACATATAATACTGGTATGAACATTGAGTGAAAACAGAGTAAATGACTGCTCATTTTGACAGCTGGATCCCCTACAGCTAATAGCTCTCAAGTGAAAACCAATACTGAGGATATTTCTCACGTAACAAAGCAGAGTGACTACTGACAGCTCCTGCCTGTCTCTTCTACATACCTTTTCTAGTTGCATTTTTCCAGTTCTCAAAAATAAATATGGTTTGTATATGGGTTCATAAACCATTTTGTTCCTGAAATATAATAAGCCATGACCTTAGAACTATTACAGAGCAAATGTATACAGTGGCACCTGTCCTACTGGTGACCCATGGATCTGATGAAGCAATTAAAATAAAACCTCCAGCCTGCACAAAAAAACATATATATTTTAGTGGTCTACGCAGAAAAGAGAGCAATAACAGCACAGTATGGTCACAACTCGTCATTAACCTCTAGAGTCCCTGCGTCCTCATGTGAGCTTCACAGCAAGAAGGTTTAGATAATGGATGGATGGAGTCTAGAAGGCAGAAAAATATTCTTTAAAAAACAATGACTCACATTCATCAGGTCAACCAGGATGTGTCTTTTAAATAGTTTTTTTCTAAAAACACTGGCAGTCTGTCTTCAGGGAGTCAATTCTGCAGAAGAACTAACGGTTATACCTCTTACATGTGTAGAAGTATTAACCAGTGTAAGATTGTATTAGTACTATTGTTAGTTAACCATGGTAACAACATGTTCATTCAGGATGAGGCAGACCACTAAGCAAGGAAACATTAGTATTTCAGCCACACATGGATAACAATGAGATGTTTCTATTTTGGGAATTTTGTGGAAAACTGGGACCATCTCAGCCTCAACTATCCAGTCTCTTACTGCAATCATGAGCCTAGTATTGCTTCACAGTTTCCTACTAGCTACATTTGTAAAGCACACTTATTTGCAAAAACAAACTAGTAAAATATTATCTTCTGTGTTTTTTAAATAAAGACTGGAATTTTAAGATTTCAATAAAGATTTTGACCTTTACATGAAATGATGCCATCTGGCCAAACATCATCTCCATTGCAAGTTTGGCAAGTCCTTCAGGACAGAGTATAAGGACATCCAGGATGGTGGCCCTCCTCTCTGCTCACAGCGAAAAGAATGGATATATGCTTTTTTCCACTAATAGTACACTAGAGTAGAGTGGCTGAAACACATTTCAAAAACCACTTTGCTGTCAAGAAACTCGAGGGTACCCCCTCTAATCACACTTATCAAAGTGCAGAGGTGCTTCAGAAGTGAATTAAATAGTGGTAAATGGTCAATTAGGGAAGTAGCATGAAAGAAAAAGTTTGGAAGTAGCAGAAGATTATGCATTATGTACTACAGAAACACCTTGGACAAATTCAAACCAAGAAACCACCATAATCTAATATACGTTTCAGCCAACCATCAGGAGCCCCCAGGGAAGCCCTGGATTTCTGCAGGTAAGACCTGGAAAAAAAGATTCAACTTTTCCTGCTGTGATCCACCAGCTGTGAACGTACCACAGGAACAGGGATAGTTCAGTAGCACAGATGCAATAATCAGCAAAAAACATCCTCAAAACCAAGAAGGTAAGAAATGAGGCAATGAAACTAAATTATGTAGGTTTGTAAATCTGGTTCAGTGACTGCTAGGTGTACACCAAATCTAAATTTCAGGGTAATTATTGGTCATTTTAGAATATACAGAGCTTTGATGAACTGACTCTACAGTAAATACACATAACTAGTATAAAGGGCTAGACTTTGTGCATATCCCCGTGCCTAAGCGGATGGACGAGCGACATGACAATCCTATTCATACTTCAAATCGAGGCTCTGTGCACTGGTTCATTGCAGAAAGGCACCAATAGAGAAAAGGGAGAAAAGACAAGTTTGGTTAGTGTGAAAAGCAGGAAGATCAATTTATTCATGTATTTATTTCTGTGCCAGCCTTGGCAGCTGGTAGATTGCCAATGTCACCATCCACGGTTTTTCCACTTCATCATTCAATTATGTTAGAATCAAGTCAAACATCTAAACCATCGCACAGCACTTTTGTTTGCCAACATCTGACTAATGATGATTTCCCACCATGGTTCTACAGGGACAGGTTTGGGTCCATCTCCTTTTCTGACAGAAAAACCTAAAAGTGCAGTGTTTGGTCACATCTTACATAAGCTCCAGGAAAAAAAATAGCCACGGCGTTTTTCAGAACGAGAAACTGGTCATACCTAAATCTTCAGTGCATTTTTATGAGTTTTTCTTTGTAGACCCCGTTTCTCACTTCAGGTTCGTTCTGGAAGAGAAGTTGATTCCAGTCACCATCTTCTGGATCTTTTCTTCATTCCTCAGTATGTTGGACCTTACAGCACAAATCTTGTCCTGTTGGTCCTTGACCAGCTGCTCCAGCTCAGACAGTTCTGCTTTAAGAGGCTCCACTGACTGGTCTGTCACTCTACAGCATATACAAGCATAAATACACACAAACAAAGAAAGGATTAATGAAATGAATCCTCTGAAAGCAATAGGACATCTTTACTCAAGGCACCACCTCAGTTGCTCATCACGACAATACAAGATAATATATGACAACAAATCACACAACATGTAAAATGACTGGGAAACAAAGTCTTCTTTCATAGCGTGACAAAACATGTTATTTTTGAGGTTCCACTGAATATCAAGTACTGCCATCAGTAAAGATGATAGAAAATTAGCACTCTCTAATAGGAAGATGAGCTTGTATATGGACTGGTGCTGGAAATCAAATAGACACACAACTTAAAGTGTGGTGTGTATGTGCTAAGCCCACCTTTGCTCCTGCAGCAAAGCCTGTGCATGCTCCTTGTTCTCCCGCCGCCAGGTGTGCAGTTCAGCCTGCATAGCGTCCATGTCCTCCTGGATGTAATCCATGATCTTGCCCAAAGGCAGGGTGCTGCGGCACACTGCCTGGATGGAGGAGCGGAGCCGCTCAGTCTCCCTCGTCACCATGTCCCGCTCTTTCTTCCGAGCTGCTTCAGACACCAGGTTCTAGAAGTGAAGGGGGTATGACAGGTAAGGGTTAGGGGATAAAAGCAATGATGCCATCAACTTAGAAAGCAGGTAAATATCAAATAAACTTCTAGAAATGTGGGCACCATGGTGGTGCAGTGGTTAGCACTGTCGCTTCACAGCAAGAAGCCTCTGGGTTTGAGCCCCGGCGGACCCGGTGCCTTTCTGTGCACCCTGTGTGACCCTTTTCAGGATAAGCGGTATAGATAATGGATGGATGGAGTCTAGAAATGTGCATATTGGTATCTGAGGAATGATTAGATAGAGCTCATTAATTTTATATGCTGGTTTTATCTAGATCACCTTAAAGGACAAAGAAAGGAAGTAAAAGGCTTTCATAAACTTTCCAGATTTAACACTCAGGACTGGTGTGTCCTTAGACCAAAACATAATACACCCTCTTTAGCAATTCTACCTTTGCCAGCAACATCTCAAATGCCCAGTACGAGAACAAGGCTGCAATTAGTGGTTTAGGATTTCAAGGCTAAAAATGTTAGAGAGGAATTCTACCAACTTATCTGTATATATATAAAGATCAAATACATGGCTGAACTGTGTCAGCCAATGTAAGGGGACTGGCTGACTGGCTGGTGAAGGCTTCCAGTGTATGGTGTGCGGCTGAGGAGAGGTTAGCTACAACCCTTGATGGTGAAAAGGCGGGGATGGTATTAGGGAAGGGCCTCCTTTGGCAGGGAGCAATCTCAAGCATGTTTGCTCAGCTGGGCTTTGCAAGACCACTGAGAGAGGGAGAGAGAGTGTGTGTGTGTGTGTGTGTGTGTAATGCAAAAGCACTCACTACTGTCCTCCTACAGACCAACCCCCAGACTCATTAATTTCAGCTCTATTATTGAACAGTGCTTCAGAAAACTGAGAATCAGGTTTTTGTCATTTTCATCAACCTAACTGTTAATAGGTAATTCGCTCAGCCACCAGTTTTATTCATATGTTTTATCTTTGTCTCTTCCCCACAGTTCATCTGTGCAGTATATATGGAGACAGTGAAAACCACACCGCCTTGGATCTCAAGTTAGTGTTTCCTTCATAGTATCTTACAATACTTCAGAGCAGATAATCTGTCATTCCCTCCCTTCCTTACCACCTGGATCAATGACACATCATCCTTGTTATGTGTGTGTGGTCCTCCATTAAAATCGTAGCAGGGATGTACTGATAGCGTCTCCTGCTGTTGAGAACAGCTCCGCTGCACCTCTGTTTGTAACAGAACACAAACATCAACATGTCATACAATTCAATTCAACAAGTCATTTCTGGACACTTTAGAAAGTAAGGTCTAGATCTTATTGCTACTGTTATTATAGAGGAAAAACCCAACAAATCCCCGTTGAGCAGCACTTGGCGACAGTGGGGAGGAAAAACTCCCTTTAACAGAAGAAACATCTGATAGACTCTTGGTAGGTGGCCTTCTGCCTTGAGAGAAAAGAAAAGAAAAACAGCAAACACAAACACTGGTCAGGTTGATGTGGCCGGTGACTGCTCATCAGAAACATAGAGCTCCAGAGCCAGGGCTACCTGCAGAAAGGTACAGGGAGAGAGAGAGAGCACAACATGGTGCAGACACAGTAATCAGGAAGTGAATACTCTTACACAGGAACAGGGTTTATTTTGTGTGTAAATGAGACACAGAGTGCTTTCTTTAGCTAACTTCAGCTGCACAGTAGTCCACCCCCCCCCACACACACACACACACACTCACACGTGCGCACCAAGAAGAGGATCAAGCAAAGCATATAATCGACACATGCAGCAACCACTTGCACTCTTGGTCTTTAAGTCTTGTTTATTTTAGTAACAGGCTGTGGCAGTGGGGTTATTTGACCACAGTACTGAGTAACAACTACTACACTTATGCCTCCTTTCAAGTTCAACTCTTTGCTCAATTTATACTTCTTGGCTGCACAGATGGGAGCACCTGCCTTCATCATGCAGTAGAAATCATTCAACAGTGTGCAAACTAAATGACAGCTTCCTCTTCAAAACACACGACCTGTCATAAAGCCCGTTCAGGTAGCAGGCTTCATAAGCCTTTCATAGCTGGTGCAGATACCACTTTCCTTAAAACAAACCAAACAGCTCAGTAATTACGATTTTAAAATGTAGCTTGACTAGACAAGACCACACTGCAGGAATGGCATCAAACATCGCCAATATTTATTTTGAGGAAGTAAGTACAAATTTCTCACAAGCTTACTCCATTACCTGTTCATGGTGGCTCAAGAGTGTGAGAGTTGAAATGCCTCGGCCCAGCGGTCCCACTACAAGGTGGGTGGTTTTCCACTGGGCGCCGTGAACCTTGCACCTAGACAAACACTCTACGGTTCATTCGGCCCGGCTGGCTGCGGTTTGCTCTGCCTAGCTCAGACAGGACCCATGGCTTCATTCTATTTGCCACCCCCTTGCTACCTCAGCCCCCCTCTCCCTCTCTGCTGGAAAATAAAGGAAAAAAAAAAACCTGTGTGAAAACATGACCCCTGGTTCATGTGCACTGTGTCGGTGGATATAAATCACTGCTTTATGGAGGTCTCTGTTGGGGTCTACAGGACCTGTGTGCTCCTGGTTTTTCTTTTTCTCGGCCAGATCACAGAACAATATTTAAACATGGTGACCACAGGGGAGTAGGAGGTGTGAGGTGGATGGAGGCATGTCTTCCCAGTATCTTAGACTGTGATGAAAGCTCAGTGCACTGGGAAAGACAGAGACTCTGGCTGGTGCTAGAAAGAGCAGGCCAACTAATAAAAGGCAACAGTTTGGTGTGGAGTATTTTATACCTACAGTTTTGTCTTTAAATCAAGATACAGTATCTCTACCATGTGAAAGAACATAAATACTTTATTCATGTTTGCTTCAGGTCTTCATTTTGTTGGTTAAATCTTTAACTACAAACTCAACACCGTCTCTTTAAAACGAGGGACAGCGGAAAGAAATTTTCTTTGATGCATTATAACATCATTAAACTGCAGGGGACACTACAGTGTGAAATCATTAGCAAACGCATGCAGAAATGGCTTTATTGAGTACTTAGAGGGATTTTCTGGGGAAACAGAAAAATATTCTTTAAAAAAAAGTATCTTATAACAAGAAAAATGGCTTTTAAACACAAAACCTGCGCGTGGCAGAGCAGCCTCTAGGGAATCATTAGGCTGAGAAATTTGCTTCCATTACAGGGAGACCAGTCTCACTCTTTACTGTTCATTTATCAAGGTCTCTGTGGTTAGAACAAGAGGATGAGAGACAAATGCAAAGACTTTTCATTAGAGCTGCATTACCCACAATTAAGATGAATCAATCTAAGTTGTGGTGTTTCAGTGGTGTCTGCACAACAAGCTCAAATGTCAGTTACTGAAAACATCAGTCATTACCAGCTTAAGTGAACTGCTCTCCAATCATCACCAACAAGTGGTTTTGTGAAAGTATCTTATAGATCACTGAAGACCACATAACTTCTGGGAACAAACTGTGTTGGTGAGTGATGTCCATTTGGAGACACTGACACACATCCTGATGGCTTTTACAAGACGTTCCTGAAGCCGAGGTGAGCCAAAGAGGAAGCATAGGATGAGAAATGGCTCTAGAAGCTATTTACAGGCTTTCTTGCCATTTTTCATAAAGATCCATTTAAAAGTCAGAATCAATTTATTGGCTTTATTGGCCAGGTGTGTTGGACACAAGGAACTTAAGTCTGGTACAGCAGCTCTCAATGCGCATGTACATATCCTTATGTAACGCAAGTCGAGCTAGATCATAAGAATAGCTTGGGCTCATGAGGTAAGGAGTGAGGTTACAGGATGTTGTTGCAAGGTCACTGTAGCCCCTTAGGGAGACAACCGAGATAATCACCCTGGGCTCCAGGGTCAACTCATAGCAAACTTCCAAAGGAACCACAAGCTATACTAACTGACCCTTCAAACATTCCCAGGGAGAGAGGAACTCATTTTAGATTTTTTGAAGATCAAAATGCGTCATCATGGTTGAGGTTCGGCCTGATAACGGATTGTGGCTGCTTCCGGTAGATACACACCTCATAGACCTGACCAAATTCCTGGCAAGTTAATGTGCCCATCACAAAAGTAATATGACTAATGGAATGCCACAAGGTAATTTCCTCATGTTTCTACAAAAAAACGCTGGATGTTTATGAAGACACAGAGAGAGAGAGAGAGAGAGAGAGAGAGAGAGAGAGAGAAAGAGAGAGTATTTATTTTCTTGACAATTCTGCAGAGAGTATTCTGGCCCTTCTCCTCAGTGACTCTCACTCAACAGCCATCCATTTGTACACCACAGGGTTTATTTATACAATACAAACCTTCATCAAGGCTAATTTGATGGGGGTAAAGAAAAGGGGAAAAAAAAGAGTACACACTACTTCTTATGGAAACGCAGCTGCTGCAAGGGGCCGATTGTGTTTAAATAAAAGAGAACTATTTTGGAATAATATACAGTGCTGCCAAGGGGTCACAAGGGAAGCCATCTCCATAAATACACAGCTAAGACTTTGGTCACACACACTGTGACGGGACATGGCAAAATACAATCATTTGACTGTTCCACTTTTCCCTTTATTAACTTGAGTACAGAAATGGAACAGCTAGGCGCTGGCATTAACAATAACAAAATTAATTTAGGAATGACAAAGCGCTGAAACTACAAGGGAAATAGCTTAAAGGTACAAGTTCCATAAAATGTAACCAAAAAAAAGCCCATTATGTTAAATATTAAGGGAGACTATGACTACTTATTTAGAAATTGTTTTGGATAAACACCAGTATTTTTCAAAATGAAACATAGCAGCTGAAATTTCAAACCTGTCATATCACACATAGAATGAGGAAACTCAATATTTACATTTTTGTCCCTGTGTGTTTTTACCATGATTACAAGAAAAAAAAAAAAAAAAAAGCGACTCCATTAAGCTGACCTCTCCACCCTTTCATGTCAGGAAGGAAGTCATTATAGTTCTTTATACAGCTGACGAGGCAAGGCCAATAATGACAGAGGAGTGGACTGAGCAGTTCCTATGTGCAGACATACCTGCTCTGAGCTGCCTCTCCAGACCATACAAGATGAAATGAAGGTCTGGAACGCCTGAAAACTGAGCAGGCTGCATTAAGAAAATTAGGTTAAACACTAAAATGATATGCTCATGTTACACAAACGCTGCTATTTTGGATGTTTTCTCTGTGTGTGTCTGTGTATACATTTATATCTAACTAGACTTGCATAACCTTTTGGGATGTGAAAACACTATATTTAACACACACACACACACACACACACACACACACACACACACACACACAGGTAAATCTTGATAAATGCTGGGCCTACAAATTACTGTCAAGCTTTTTCAGTGTACTGGTAACTAAGCTCAGACAATTTCAGGTGTAAGTTAAGACGGATGATGTCTGAGGCCGTGGCTAGGAGGGGATAGATCAGGGGCCTTTGTGCATGAGTGACATTCAAAACAGTGCATCCATCAGAGTCAGGGTGGTCAGCTAGGAAGGGATGCAGAGAGAGTATGCCTCAGTGGAGAGGACCACCCAAAGCAGACAGTGTACACACCTCACACCACAGAGTACAGACCAAACTGTAAGCTTCACACTGATTCACACTCCAAATAATGATGAAAGAGCGCTGCTCTCTCTGGCTGATAAAAAAAAGCCTATGGAGCAATGGCATGAGCAATGGCAATGTGTGTCGTCTTGAAAAAGACAATTTATCGTATTTGATACCAAAGAACAGTCAAACAAATCAAAGAAGGGATGAGAAGGAAGAAGGTATTAGTAGAATGCCTGAGTTTTACTGAAAGGCATTTAGAGACAAAATAAAGCAGAACAACAGAACTCAAAGTCTGAAAAACTCGTTTTGCTGTATCTGTTTTCTAATATTTCCAAGAAGTCTACATGTGGGGAAGGAGTGTGAACAATCTACAAACTGCTCTACGTTTCCAAAATGGCAGATATCCTCAAACTGTATACAGAACAGAAGATTGTCATAAAAAAGCACAGCTATGATATTGAGCAACCCCACAAAGCAAGCTCATTTAGCTCCAGACATCTTGATGTGTGTATCAGTTCTGTGTGGTCTGTTAGATGTCATGCTTACTTGCTGGGTTATTAGCCCTTCAGCTTCACTGAAGGCAAACATTTTTGTGGTTTCAATGGAGTGCAATTACACCTCTCCACTCCATGTGTTTATATCTTTCTTTTGATAATAACCAGTGTTGCACTGGGTATTTCACTGTGGTCAAAATGCTTACCCCAGGGAGCAAACGTTTTGGAACGAATAGCTGATTGAACTGATGGGAAGGTTAACATGGAGTCAAGTCACTGGTAAGGATGAGTCAGAGAACCAGGCTGATACTCCCCTCTAGTGGAGACAGAGAAGAACTACTACTATAACAGTACATACCTGTTCTTTAGATTTAGGGGAGGATGATGACAATTCATAGTCTTTCTTGGTCTCAAGGATCTTTATCACAAGTCCACCTACAGTGAGAGAACCAGTGAGAAGAGCAGTGAAAGATCTACAACCTCAAACCACCAAGTGGGAGAGAAAACTCAAGAAAAGGTGGCATTGTTGCTCCATTCAAAACAAGGGGAAACTTGACAAAGACATGATTTGATTATGTACCATGTTTCTCTTCACTGTCTAGTTCTTGTGCAGGTTGCTGTAATAGAAAAAAGAGAGATCGGTAACTGTCCCAGACTTCAATGGTATCGAAACAACCCGCTTTTCAAGACACTCACCATGGTCATCTCAGGAGCACCTGAGGGTGGAGGAAGAGTCTCCTCTACAAGAAATTGTTCATCTTCATCCTCCTCATCCTCAGACAACTTCTTCCCATCCATGATGAGAGGTGCTGAATGCTTGGCACTAGAAAGCCTGAAACAGAGGCAAAGAGTCTGACTCACATCTAATTCAAAACTAACATGGATGAATTGCTCAAGTTAGACAGCTACAAACACAATCTGCATCCAGGGTATTTCACTACATTTAGTTAATCTAAGTAGTGATTGTGTCCAGACAAAGAATGCACTCACAAAGAAGAGGACGCGTTCGTCCTAGCCAGTATAAACTAGACTTATGACAGTGACATGAATATGTGTGGTGAAGTCACCTCTCAGCTGAGGCTGCATCTTTGTAAGTCTCCTGTTTCTTGAGTCGAGGGGGGGCTGGGCGAGCACTGCTGGGCCGTGATATTTGCCTGCTGCTGTAGGATTGTACATAGTACAAAAATAAGGTGTTCAAATAACAATCTTAAAATGAAAAAGGTTCACATTTCTACAAATATTTCTTTAGTTTCACAAGCAATGTTATTTCTCCTGATTCTCTTTTAATAAATCTGTGTACTAGATGAATCAGCATGTCTCTGACACAGTCTCAATGAAACATTCTAAACGGCTTCATAAAATGTAATATTTATTGTATGACAATTGAGCAGTATTGCATTATATTGATTATGTTTCAGGTATTGGTCATAGTGTTTTACTGGCAATGTTTGAGTGGCAAATATGAGAGCAGCTTAAATAGGGGAAGAGAATAATGAAGTTTGTGACACTGAATTAGATTGGTGTTGTCTGTAAATGAAGGATAATGTTTAATATCTTCAGAGAAATGCTTGCTAAGAGAGTCAAGGTTTAGTGTTGACTGCACAGACCTGGAAGCACCGACAGATGGAACTGAAGAACCTGCGGTGTCGCCACTTTCCTGAGGTACGTGTCTCTGAGCTAACTGAGCCTCTGCATCTGCACAAGATCAGTGACTTGTAGTTAGCTTAGTATAATACAATAAGGATTAGATCTGAATGAATAAACTGCCCCAACTAATCATCCTCATACACTGCTACCTTTACTTGGAATAAACTTACAGTCGCTGTTAGGGAAGTCAACCTGTTGTACTATACTGCTGCTGTCTCTCCTTCTGTGTGCCTGAAGCCTGACCCTGGTTGGCCTTTGAAAGTACTGTTGTGTGCCTTGTTGTGAACCTGCTGGCCCCTGTTGCTTTTGCTAGGTGGGTAAATCCTGGATTTAAAATGATGTGAAGATTCTGTTGGACACGCCAAAGAATTTGGGCTAGGCTGGAAACCGTTGCTAATGCAGGTCTGTCAAGCCCAGTGAGACATTGTATCTGACACTGGGCTTTCCAAATAAACTCGACTGACTTGCTAGGATGCTTTGACAAAGAACAGCTCTGGGCAAGTCTCTTACTGAGTCAGAGAATAATTGCACTCACTCTCTTACTTGATGAGTCTGGGCCATAAAGAAATTTTTGACATTTTACAGAAGACACTGCCTTATCCTGAGTCACATCAGAAGATTAACTGAGCTGGTGACCTGTGCTTTCAGTACAGTTTTTTTAGGTTAAAAGCTAAATGCCATTATGGGAGTGATCAGTGTGAATACTCTTATTCTCCATTGCTGTATCTTACCAGGACAAACCCCAAAATGCATTTAGAATCAGGTCTCCTGTCAAACTGACCACATTTCTACAGGACAAACTCTTGTGTGAATGTTAAATCCTTCTAGGCTCTTCTTTATGCAACTGTGTGAGACAGAGGACACTTACCTCCCTCACTGTCAGATTCTTCTGTTAAGAATAAAAAAATACAACTATGAAAATCATTATAGAGCACTGTGTTACGCACACTGTGTTACATACTGTAGTCTTACAGAGAGTATTAAACAGATGAATGCATAGATCTCTGGAAATGGGAGAATGATTTTTATGGAAAATGTTTTCTTAATGACAGTTTTATGAAGCTTTTTTTGCTTCTGCCAGCAGTAATCCTGATGAGTCACCCCTATATCCCACAAAGGGAATTTAAGTGGATTTATTAAACAAGTGAAGACAAAAGAGAAAACTATCAGTTGTAAAATCAATTTTGATAAAACTTAGTGTTTGTATCAGTGATTAAAGATCGGAAAAGGTCAAAACTCCAGCAACGCTTGCAGTATTTAAAACCAACCAATCACACATGCCCAGCCAATAGAAACATCCATATAGTAAGTAGGTTGGATATATGGTCATGTGGTTAGAGGCCAATCACAACTAAATTGGTGAACACATACCAGATCAGGCTCCTCCCCCTGTGTGCATTCTTTTGTGATGTCACCTGTACCAGTTATTAGACACACCTTTTGCCTCTTTACCAGTCTGAGAATGTGATTGGCCTATAACCACATAACCACATACTCAAACCACTTATGTGCATGCTTTTTATTGGCTGATGTGTATGTGTTTGTATGTGATTGGTTGTTTTTAAAAATTTTTATTACATCCATCATACTTAAATATTATGGCTTGGATTGTAATAACACTGTTCTATAAGCTGCAAGTACTGCTGCAGTTTTCACCTTTTCATTTTATTTTATCTCATCTATGCTTCCTGGCAGTAGGTGAAGCTGTGCCAGATGTTTCTGCTTTGCGGTGATTGAAGATGAACCAGTCATGTGTATTAACTATGTGAGATGCCCACAACTGATCTAGGTGGTCAACATAGGGTGTTGAGGTGAGAATGAGTTGGTTGGGGGCTTACCTTGACCCCCAGGTTTGGGTCTCCGTCTCTGCCCTTTGGCAGAAGAAGGCCGAGGTATTCTAGCTGGACTGTCAGACTGTGAGAGGAGGAAAGACAAGCAGGAGATGCAACTCTAGGACAACAAGCACTGAAAGGTAACATCACTCATTAATGCTTAGGATTGTTCAGAAAAGCCCTTTAATATGTGGTTCTCTATTGTGCTAGCCATTTATCTTTCATCAAATAATTTTATTTAAATTATACTGAGGTATGCTATTGTGTTATTAAGCCCCAGTAAAGTGCCAAATCATCTTTTAAATCACACAAACACATAGTAGCCTTCCATGCAAAATACAAAAAACAAAAAAGCAGACAAAAACAGTTCAAGATGGAGTATTGTTTAAGTGCAATACCAGTTAAACACACTGGATCACACATCAGAAAACATACAATATGATTTAAACTACCTGCCAACATAGCCTCATACTGAAAAAAACAGCAGCAAAGGCAGCTGCTGCTTGGTAAAGCAAAATGACAAGATGCAAAGTGACTGAGCAGAATAGGCACTGGGAGCATCAATGCCTGACATTTAATGAAATATTTAAAGAGGAATCATGCAATACAGCAATGAAGTTGAACAAGAGCCAAGAAGACAAGTGAGCCACAGCAACAAAGTGAAATGGAATAACAAGAACTCCCACTCAAAAGAGCAACAAAAAAGGAAACGAAGAAAAATGTAATAGAACTGAGTAGTACTGAGTAACCAGCTCCATTGCTGCAGCCTGGCAGGGCAAACCCCATTAAATGCATTTAAAATCAGGTCTCTTGTCATACTGACCTCATTTCTACAGGTGGTAAATGGTTGTAAAAGAGATACTTTTATGCTTCACTGAACAGTTAATCCTTGCTGCACACTTCCAGGTGCAGCAAAATGCAAAGGTACTACTGAACAATCTTTGCTAATCAAATGGAGTATGGAGTAACGTCTTACCTGGTTTTCAACAGCTTCTGCAGGCTGTACACAGAAAAACACAGCATTTCACCACATCACATGTATCAATTATATCTGCTGTATAATGCAGCCTAAATTAGCACTAAACCAAGCAGCTAGCCACTCCACAGCACGCTAAAATGTCTGCACTACAGGTCTAATTTTCTATTGATTGTTTCTGTAGTATTTAATACCTCTTCACTGGGTGAAGTTTCCTTGCAAGAGAAAGAGGCACAAAATCAGAAAATAAATATGAATTTTTTTTTTTTATAACCCACAGTTTTTCGACTGTGTAAACACATAAAATCAGTGACAAACACAATGATTCTTAATTAGCTGATTAAATATACAGAAAACTCTGCCATACCTTAATTACGGAGGAAAAAAATCAAATGGTTTCAGTGATGGAGAAAATACAAATTAATTAATAAATGTCAGTGTAAAACGTGTGCATGTTTGGCCTAAGGCATGAACTCACCGCTGGCACAGGTTTGGTTGTTTTGCTGAGCTCCTCAGGGCTGAGTTTTTGCTGTGGTTCCTCAGATATTTTGGTCTAAGCACAAACATACACATTAAGTGTAAAGAAAGGCAGCTGT